AAATACCTGTTTAAAATGAAGTTCAAGTAAGTGGAAGGCTTGCTAATGTCAGAATACTGAGGATGGGAGGGACAATGCAGGCTTCATCAGCATCAAAGGAGCATACAACGGTGAGCTGAAAATTAAAAAAAAACTTCAGCGTTCATTAACCCAAGCCTGAGAGTTCTAATTTTAGACACAGCTGCTTCTGTAATACCAGCTATGTTATAGGGAATGAGCCAGGAGTCCCTTTTGTTTACAGTAGGATGAACTAGGACCAGCACAACGCACTTTAACAGTAAAATATTGGCATTGAAACAGTGCAAGAACAGAATCAGACCTCTGCAGTAATCTAAAGTCTTTATCTCTGTAGGTAGCTTGGTTTTACAAACGCATTGACGGAAACAGAAAGCACCACTCTGCCTGTGAAATAAACTACTGTTAGAGAACAATCTTTGCACACCACAGAGTTGTTGTGTATTTGAGATCCAAGCCAATAAATGTGAAAAACATCAAGGTGCCGATATGAAATTGCTGAACTCCAGTGAGCCAGAAGTAGTTGATTAGATTATCACTGAATAAAAAGTATCAGCAGTTTCCTCCTGCCAGAGATCTGCTCCCAAAATACATATTCAAAGTTGTCTTTTATATCTTGTATATTATTAATAGACAGATTGGAAAAATTTCTCAGCTTTTATGAACTGATTTGCTAGCCTCATGATTGCATGTGTAGCACCCCAAAATTAAAAAGAAAGTAGCTTTACCTATGACAGTCTCTTCTTTATTCAAATATCCATTGGAATGCCAGCGAAAACTCTTTATTGCATTAATTGAGAGGAATATTATGTTCTTTACCTTGGTATGCTGGAAATGAAATACATTGTGAGTGTATTTCAACTCGAAGATAAGAAAGGCCTCAATAGTTACAATTTAAGTAATACATTATCCATATAGTACACATCCATAAACTCATGAATGTTACCTTGAAAATGCGTTTCTTTTAGGTCATAGCATGAATACTATTTGCATGCAGGAATTTTGTCCATAGGCGATTGGCATCTGAGAATACTGACCGAAAAGCTGCTATCTTTTTATTTTTGTTAGCTCTGCACTGTTCAAAGCATAAGAACAAGAAAGACATTTTAATCTGGCACGTGCACTCTGATAAGAATGCTACATTCTGTTTTCAAAATCATTACAGCTCTTAGACCAGGAAAACGACAGCTTGAATTTCAAATCTAAGCTTCAGTTTGGAGAGCAAACAGAAAAAACAACCTCAGCTTGTGCTCAGCGGAACACAAGTGCACTTTACTCATCAAAAAACATCTGTTTATTTTCTAGCAATAGGGGATTTTCTGTGTACTTCCTCCTCGGCCTATCAAAGCATGTTACTTAACAGAGCAAAGGTGAGATTAGTTGCACTTCCATAGAATCTCAATTTACAGATTGTGGATTTATGCATGCTGATTGTTTGACAACTCCTTAGTGAAGGTTTACCAGAACAGTGATTTGGAGGTAGCTCCAATAAGAGTCCAGCATAGACAGATTTCTGAAGGAACCAGAGATCTGCCAGTGCCTTCTCATACACAACACCAGTAAAGGCAGAGAGGCGCCCAGAGGGCACTGGGAGTTCCAGAAAAAGAAACAGAGGTATTACATGCTGCAAAAGCTGGCTCTGTCATTTGTTAGGACAGAGGAAGAACTTTATCGCCTGAACAGAAACAACAGAGGGTTCCTTTTACTCAGGTAAATTGCATCAATTTACCTAAAATTGATGCAAAAACCCAATGCAGTTAAATCTGTGCAAATCAGATACATTCATATTGTCTGAAATTCAGATAAAGATGTTTAGGTTTTATGTGCAAATTTACTGAACCTGATGTATTCTAAATTAAGAGAATCTGCACAGAATTCTGCCTTTTAAGAACAATCATTTAGTTAAGCCAATTAAAATTTCTTCTAAATGTGGCCTCAGACAGAATAGTTCCTGGGATATACACGTGCTGCAAGAGCATCCCAACAAGACATCAGCATTTCATATCAGCCAGTGACCTCTCTGCTTTTTGCTAGATAGCAGTGTAGCAGTCTCCCATGGTGTCACTATGAGGCTCAACTAGCCTCAAATCTATGGCTCAGGAGAAAGAGGTTTTGTGTAATTTTCCCCATTCTTTCAGCTTGCTAAGCTCCCTAGCTTTCTGCTGATTACAACATCACAGACGGAGAATTAACAACATGGTGAAGTGCAATCACTATTCATCAGAGAAACTTGGATTCAAGAAAATGGAGTAACCATATTTAGATAACTGAGGACAATTACATATGCTAGAAAAACTGTGCAGCAAAAGCTGCACTAGGCAGCACTCACTAGAATGGATGAACTGCTGAGTTTGCTTCTCTTACTATTTGATTTTTCTTGCTTGGGACAATTTTTTGGGGTTGTGTCTTCATTGTACTGTCCCTTTGCGGGAGTATCAGGCTGATTCTGTCTCCTGGGAAACCTAACTTAATCCTGCAAAAATTAAAAGTCTCTTTAAGAGCCCCTTTGTGTCCATGAACCAGAAATGAAGTCATATGCAGTATTATCTCTGTCCTTTTGAGGATGTTGCATGTCACACTGTTCATTGACAAGCCCTACTATTGGCATCCTCTTCTGCAGATTTTCTGTGGGAAGTCTGTTTGTGTCACCTAAAAGCCATTACTTCCCATGAGTAGCCCCAGTGTGCCTCGTCAACAGGCAGCAGGTGAGCAGAATTTCTAATGCTGGCTGCAGATGGGGTGAAATCTAGTGTCTGGTTTCAAAAAGAAACACAGCAGTACAGAGCACAAGGAAGCCGGTCATAGGGATTAGTGGCCAGGTGTGCATCACTTGCATCCTTGGTTTAAGGCAAAAGTAAAACATAACCTGTTTGTAAGATTGTCTGCAAATGCCCTTCCTTGGAAACAATTTTAGCTTCATTGTATTAGAAATGAAGAACTGCTCTTCTTCTTCTTCCTCAGGTTGTTGTGCAGTCCAGACCAGTATTTTTATACAAATGGCAGTATCTCCCAAGCGCCTTTCAGAGATGCAAAGCCTGCAGATGGAGAAGAGAAATAGTAGGCTTGCAAGGTGATCAGTTTGACAGTTAGGAGTGCAGGATACTGTCTTACAGTATAGGATATAGGATACAGGAATCAATTACATTTGATTCCCACTGGAATCAAATGGCAAATCCTTTCCTTGTCATCCTTCCTGTATGTAAAAGAGGTTATCAATAGTTGTCCCTTGCTGAAAAGCCCTTATAAGTACTCCAGTTCACCTTTCACAGAGTGCCTGAGCTGACATTAAACAGTAGTGACAATGTGACAGGAAAGGTCACACAGCATGGGTGGAGGGTATGCCATGTTCTATCGACAGGAGTGTTCATGGTGCTGCAGTGCCTCATATTTGCGATGGGTGAGGTGAGGTCAAAGACAGTGCATCATCTGGATGGATGGATTTACCAAAGGGTTGCTTCCTTTCCAAGATGGACTCACATCTTCTTGTCAGAATCGTACAGAGCAGCATGTGTGTACGTGGAGGGCCCCTTGCTACCCATTACAGTTCTAAGGACAGCTATTGCCCCGATTACCACTTGCTGGACCAGCATTTCAGCTGCCCTGCTCAATGCAACTTCTATTTGAAGGTCACTTGTATTCTCCCCCTCACACTGACCTCTCCTCAACTGAACTGGAAAAGTGTGGTCAATGGTTTTGTGCAGGGAATGAGTGTCTTTTGTCTCTAAATCACATACGTCCTCTTCCCTGTTTACTGATTGGTGCAAATTCACACGTTTTCCTCGGAAAGTATTTTCATTGGAGAGGGATGATTACCAGTCATGTGAACATCCACCCTCTGGCTTTGGAGGGACTTGTGTGGGGCATGAGCTTGTGGCAGAATGCAGCCCCAGGCCCAGGGTCAACATATCAGTTAACATCTAACTTTAAATATATTTGTGCTTCTGTTTTAGCCTCCCTTGATACTTCCCTATTTCTCTTGTTTTTATTAGCAGCCTCCTCAGTTACTTGTTAATGACAAGTGAAAGTATTTTGTGCTGGGCAGGGGGAAAGAGAGTTGAAGAAATTCCAGACTTAAATTATGAAGCCTTAATGACCTTAATCATGGGAATATGAGCACAAAGGGAAAGTAGTTGTAACTAAGAGGCCACTTTTCCAGAAAGCCCCGGAGGCATCCTCCTTTTAGACAAAAAAAGAGCCATGGCCTGGGGTCTTCCAGCAATGCAAGGAAACACAGTACACTTTCTGATACTCTTTTGATTCTAATCACTCATGAAATGCAGGTGAAGTAGAGAATTTGGTTGCCTTTGAGCCATTTCTTTGCACACCCCAATGCAAGGAATGTTGCAGAAGAACAGAACAGCAAAGGCCCAAGTGGCAGTGGGAATGATCCGCCTACTTTTTCTGTGCCAGCAACCAACAGGGAGTTCATTGCAGCCCAGAAAATTATCCTTTTCTTTTTAAGCAGGTGCAATACGGTAGCAATAATATTTCAGCAAGTTCCTGAATTGTGCCCACAACAACATGACTGTCGTGAGTAAATTGAAAGCTTGTTATGTTCTATGCTGAATGCTGGTTTCAGAAAGGGAGAAAATACAGCCAATACGAGAAATCTCACTTACACTAGCAGTGAAAGCTGGGCATGAGTTTTAAAATGAAGGAAGTTGTCTTGCTATCAATGTGAGAAAAAAATCCCTTTAAAATTGCGACTTTTAAATATAAAACAGCAGCAACAAAAATTGCCAAAATCAAATCAATTTCTCCAGCAAATAAATAAGGGTGTCAAAGGAAGTGACACAGAATATGAGCTTTCAGTTCATGTGTGTTTTTTCTGGAGGCAGATAACCCAGGGAACATAACTGATACATAGTTTAACGGATTTTTATAATCGCCTCCGCCCTCTGGTCAATATATTCTTCTGTTTCTCTGTAGGTCGCCCTCATTTCCTCCTTGCTGAGTCTAGCTGGTGGATTACTATGCAAACTGTACCACACAGAAGACTTATCTCTGTCTTCTAGCATGGGGACCCTCTGGCACTTACAATACACTTTAATTATATTCTGTATTTCAGTGCTGAATACCACAGGGTAAGTAGCACAGTGCTGAATACTACAGTGTAAGTAGCACATTACTGAATGTAACTTAATTCAAGAAGCTTAGCTGTTAATGATAAATATCCTTTTTCCACTTTTTAAATGTGGAATTTCTTTTCACTTTTTAAATATGTAATGTTGTACAATTGAACCATGTCATTTTTTAAAAGAAGAAATAGTTTAATTTTGTTGTTGCCTAATTCTGCACTGGCTCCTGTCTGTGAGAGCAACCTGCAACACGTGGATTTCTAATGGCACATCTGAAAAGGAGAGATCTTGACAAAATAACCATAGTAGTTATAAAACAGTCTGAATATACCTAGAGTAACCTTTGCCTTAAGATTTGCCTGATGTGTAACAGTTTGCAGATAGTACTGAACAGAGACCAGGTGGCAACTTGTCACAGCTTTCCCTTTCTTATGGAAGGAGAAATCCAGCAAGGACTGGCAAACAAAAATTTTCTTATTTTATCTGTCTTCACATTTTCTCTTTCCTCCTTAGCCCTAGCTTAGTCTGTTTTCCAGTTGCTTGCTGCATTTCATTGATGAATTGATTGTGTGATATTTGCTCTGAATCTCCCTAGTTTCTCTAAATGTCAGTGCTTAGATTTTGACGGGCAGTGGGGACATTCACTGTAGTGCATTCACTTAAGGACGGATTCTCTATTACTGTGTCAAGTACAATAAGGATAACTAAGGAGAGGTCACCACAGAGGTTGGAACTGAACCCTGCCTCCTGAAACTGTGGACCACCGCACAGCATGTCAAGAACTACTTTTGTATCCTTGCAGTCCTGGAAATCCTTCCCTATGCAAAATACCTAAAGAGCAGAGCCATCTATGTTGTGATCTGCAGTGAGATTTTGGTCTTGTGTCAACTCATCTCTGCAGGACTTTGTAGCACCACACAGACTATGCCTTTGTAACTGCTTCTGTTCTTCAGCATTTTCAGGGTAAATTAGAAGAGCTGAATGAGATGACAGCTTTGTGTCATGAGAGATTTGCAGGGGTTAAAGGATATATATAGCCTTTCAACAAATAACAGTGACACAGTACACTCGTCTACTGGTATTTACACAGTTTGCTTTGCAACAGTGGGGATGACGATGCCATGAGCAAGTTAATACCAAGTCTTTGCTATTATCCTGGTACTGTCTGAGCTGAGTGGCATCCATCCATCCCTTCCATAGCTCCCTGTACCTAGGAGAGCTGGTGTCCTTTCAGTTCAGTGGGATACAGAGCAGAGGATCCTTCCACACTAGATGAATTGAACATATCCCACCTTTGACAGTCTCAGAACTTTATCATAAAGGAGTAAGTACATATGGGAAGAGAAAGAGTCAGACACGGATGAAATCCTGGGTCTATTCAGTGCAACACTGAAAGACATATCTTGAGGTCCCAACATTCTTTCTTAAACAGTTTTTAATTTCACAAGGGCTTCACTGTGTTGTTTTTCTTGGCAGGATCAAGCAAAGACCAACTGGTGGCTTGAGAACATGGGATCCTGAAACAGGTAACTGCATGTCATTAGTGCTGTTAACATCCAACACAGATTTTGAACATACTAGCTCTTCTTCCTTACTTTAATGTGTTGTATTTCAGCTTACCTCACCAGATGTGATTTTAACAACAACTCAAGACCATTTTGTGACTGGACCCAACCTTGCAACGTCAACCAGGGAGTGTGGATACGAACCAAGCATGACACTCCGACTGATGGAACAGGTCCTGATGGAGACTATCCTGATGGAAGTAAGTGCTCAGTTGTGCCATTGTTGATTTCCTTTTGAAGACAGTTTGACTACCTTTATTCTTGTTTCTTTGAAAGACAATAGAGATTCATTAAGCCCTTCAAAGTGTGTCGGTTTCATTTCATGCTGACACCTGTATTTGACTTTGCACCATGTCAGTTATCAGTAAATTAAACTGGGTTGTCCCATCATGAGTTGGAAATCTTTATCAGTGTATAGAAGTAGAAAACAGCTAAATATGCCATGCTGAAGGCCTCGTAGAGAACACAGTGACATGCAACAGTTCATTATTCAAGAGAGGTCTTGTGGCCAAATTACACTGATATCAGTTAATGGCAATAAATGTTACAATTGCTGTATGGCACTAGATAACGTCCATGCTAGCAAAGTGGTACAAGATCAAGTCTGACATTAAAGAATATCTTTGAAAAGCTATGTGTGATTGAAAAACTGAGGTCTAATCTGGTCATATCATCAAAGAAGTGCTTAGTATGCCTCCATCTCTATCTGTTTGAACCACTATCCTTGCACTAGCAGATCCATTTATGAGGGATCATTCTGCAGTCATACTGCTTTCTGTAATTATCCTGGGGCTGAAAGGTTAGCTACTGTCAACTCAGTAAGTGGATTAGAACAGTATTAGTTGGGATTTTTGCTAAATAATTTTCTGCATTTTTAGTATTTTGATAATACAAATTTAAATTGCCTGTTGAAAGAATAAATTAAATATTTTTAGTTTGGATTTACACAAATCACAATATTGTTTTTTTTTTTAATTGACGCAATCCATATAACTTTAAAAGTGACTTACATTTTCTTGCCAACTAAAACATATGAATGAATGTTAGATGCTATGTGTGGAGCCATTCTTTCCTATATAGAAATGGTCATTAATTTCTTTTTGATTCCTTTCCATAGTCAGATGGGATAGATTTGACTTTAACTGCTCTGGGGAAACATAGCTTTGATCTTAGCTCATGGGAAGCAAAAAACTTCAGCCCTAGTAAAGCAAAATGTGATCTCATATTGAACCAATTGGGACTAAACCATTTCAAATTGTAAAAAAAAATACTGTGAGTTTCTGCATTTTGAAAAGTTTCTGTCCTTTTCCTATTGTCAAACCTAAATATTTTCATGGAAATATCTGCATTGCTTTCTATTCCTTCCATTTTGAGACAAAACCAAATACTGATGGGCTGGAATTTTCCTTGTGCTAAGGATTTGCTCATCTTGAGACCAAAATCTTTAGAAAAAAATTATATCCCACAAGAGAAGGTGTATAGCAGATTGCATCATTTTCCTTTGAGGAAAGAGGAAACTAAACATGGATTAGTGGGGCACTGTGTCTGGAAGTGCTGTCTCTTGCAAGAGGCCTACATCTTTAATTGTAATCCCAGAATAACCGTTCCTGTAAGATGGGATATATTTGCTTTGCTCTCCAGCTCACATGCTAGTTTGGATAGCTACATGGTGCTAACTATTGCAGTGTAAAATTCCAAACACCCTCTACTTTGCTTCTTTGCACTGCTCATGATGCCCTTGATTTCTTCCAGAATTGGGTTGTACTTCAGTTTTAAATGACACTTAACAAGTTACAAAGATTCAACCATATTTTATTTTTTTTTTTTTACTCTGCAGAAGGCTATTTCATCTACCAAGAAGCAAGTAATCTGATTCCATTCGACACTAACAGGCTTGAGAGCCCAGACACTGTGGTTTCTCAGAAAATATGCATAGACTTCTGGTACTATATGTTTGGGTCAGAAAACATGAATGAGCTGAGAGTGCTTATCAAAGACAGCACAGGAGAGTCTGTGGTGTGGAGTCGGAAGGGAAACCAGAGTTCCTTGTGGAAATATGGTGCCATCACTCATACTGTCCCAACACAGAGAAAGATAAAGGTAATATATTTTCAGACTAAATTTCTTAGTAGAGTATCAGCATTTGTTCTCCCCCTGGCAGGCTGCAAAAGGTTGTGCATGTAAACCAGAAAATATAACCAAGATTTCCTTTGTTTATATTTTGTAAATATAATGGCCTCATGCTCTGTGACAATGAAATAAGAAAATAAACAAAAGGAACCCTGACTTTTACTGGTGCTGTCAGTTAGGGGATAAAATCTATTTAGTTTTTTCTCTTTTTCCTTCCTTCCCTCCTTCGTTTTATCACAAAGACAAGGACTTCAGGTGCCTTAATTAAATGTGTGTTTGTCTGCTGTGAATTAAGGTTTGAACTTCGGGATGCTGCCTACATTTGACTTGACTGTAGAATTCAGACAACTAACCTCATAAATCATTTATCAGTCAGCAAAATAGGGGGCAATGTTTCTCGAAGTCCTTACCTCATTACAGAATATCTATTTTAGACTTCTGAGGGAAGCTGGGAAAACTGCTATAGCCTCAGCTTACTTGAGACAGAGCAGAAAGAATACTAGGAAAACATGCTAATGAAAATGGTGTCATATTTGTCTAGAGAACTCTGACGCAGTGATTCACTTTGCATCTTGCCTAGGTAATTTTTGAGGCTGTCCGAGGACTGACAGAGTATGGGGATACGGCGTTGGACAATGTGAGAGTAAGGGATGGATCCTGTGGTAAGTCTGTGTTTGCACCGTTGTGTACACTCCTTCCTCATTTCTGTTTAAGCTGTTGACCATTAATCAATTCCACGTACAATACAGAAACTCCTCATAACTCTCACAAAAGAGAAATGGCAAAAACTTTACAGCTCACTTCATTTGAATGTTATCTGTTTGTTGTAGTTTGTTTCTAAATCATTCTTCACCACCTCAAACGTTCAGAACAAGCTATCCCCTTCTCTGCAAATGTGACCATTTTCACAAGGTCCAGCAAACTTTACCTTTATTTTGAGTCTGAAGTGCATCTCTAATCCTAGTCAAGGCTGTGCACATTGGTCTTGGGTTCCAGATTAAATGTTCTAATCAGCTTTTTACAACAAATCTCAGTTCATATGAGCTCAGCAAATAAACAGCGCTGCCATATGTCACAAAAAGAAGTAACGGTGAGTCAGTAAGTGGAGTTGCACTACCAGCTCTGTCTATGAATCAGCAATTTGAGCTTGATCCTTGACCCTGTGACAAATTGGCCCAGACTGGCACAAGCTGTGGCTTGAAGGGGTCTGGAAGTGAATTACAGTTTCATCCCATCTTTACTGACATGCATGCAATACTTACAAAATGTGAATTGAACAAGAAATTTGCTGAAAACTATATAGAAAATGTTATGTCTTAATAGGCCTCGCTCTCTGTGAAACACTACACATATAATGACAATAAAATGTTTCAAATCTACGCTAGCAAGAACAAAGTTTTCCATGCAGTTCCACACCCTCAGAACATATAATTTTCTTTAAAATTCTGTGAAAAATACTTGGGGCCTTTTTTGGGGGTGCTAGGGAAAGCCAGTTCTTCATTTTTCCAGGCCTATTAGCACATGATTCAGCCACTGGATGGTGCACTAATATAACTCCAAGACACAACAGAAAAGTGCTCCTCCCTCTGTTAAACTGTATGACTAATAATATGATGAAAGTTAAGTGAATTATTAGGTCTGGTAAAAGTCAAAGTCCTCTCAACCTTTTTGTTTCCACAAGATTGTTTGGTTTAATAGACATTTTAATCAAACTGATGAAAAACTAAATATATGTCCATTTGTCACATGAAAAATTATCTTCCAAGGCAACTTTAGCAAGCAGTCTTTAGGTCACGATATTTGACATTCATAATGTCATTTGCAGATCTTCTTCACCTTAGATCTCAAGGGGCAATAATCTTAGGAAGAGATTTTCTTTTACTTTTTTGCTCAGCTCTACAACAAAGTTAACTTAAAGCTTGTTGAGAAGTACCCATTGTGGAGATACAGCCATTATCAGGATTTTGTGATAATTTTTCTCCAAAGTTGAAAGACCAAAAAGCAATTCTGAGCTAGATATGCAGAAACTGCATTTACAATGCAGTAGGGAGCTGGATGTGAAGAAGTGGGCGAATAAGCAGCAGGTGTACAAGAAACCAGTACACACAAAGAAGCTGGTCCCACATTGCAGACAGGTTATTACAAAATATCTTCAGCTTTGAAGTTAGAGCTCACTACGTGAACATAATCCTTTTGTGCAGAGATTTATCAGTATACACTAGACTTCGGGTTACATGAAGTCTATTTGCTTCTTCTAAATAGTAATCATTAGTATCTTGCAAACCCCTCACATCCAGCTGAATTTTTATCACGTGGTTAGCACAGAAGTAGTACCATCATAGTATGTAGTTACTACGTCATTACTCAAAAATCTCTAACTTGTTCTCATATGACTTGTTTTCTATATTACGACTTAATCCTTATAAATAATGTTGTTAGCAGTATCAGTAATACGGAAGACCAATGACTTTACTTGTGGATTCACTTGGAAGATGATATACGTATAGTGCATCCATAAGTAGGTTGGAAAGCACTGTTCTCCATGAATTAATTCATCACTTGGTTATCTCCTTGTGCACTGACTGTTATCACCCAGTCAGAGGATAGTGGAGGGCTCACAAGGGTGCAATAGGAGAGTACCTGAATGAGGAGAGTTGTTCTTTCTTCTGCAAAGGGGGCAAGAGTGAATGCGTGTGTACACTGAAGGTTTTAATCAGTCTGTTGTACTTTCAGAGGTTCAGATCCATCACTCAGTTCACATGTCACCAGGTGAATGAACATGACATCAAGAAGATACTCACCCTGGTGTTGCTAACTCACACATACAAGTACACCAAGAGAAGCACTTCTCTTAGAAGATATCTTTATGATGGATAAAGAATAGGTGGAGAAGATACTAATATTTGTTTGCAAGCAGAAGCGGGCATGAGGGAAGACTCCACAACATGACTGTTTGTTGTGCCTGTCAGTAGAAAGCTCTTACAGCTGTCACATTCCTAGGAAATAAATTTCATTTTGAAGAAACAACAAAACTCTCTGATTAGAAACCACCAGTGCCCTGAAAGTTAATTGTTTCTGCTATATGCCACCTGCTGGCAGGCTACTCAGTCCCAGACCTGCCAACACTCACAGCCAGTTTGACTCTCATGCCCTAACATACACACAAGAGGGAGTCACATTACCAATTGTAAATACACTTCCAGCTCCAGAGAAGCATGCTGGCACAAGCTCAGTCACTGTCACCAAGTTAACAATCAATCAGATGAGTTTCCTAAGTGCTCAAAAGACCCACACGTCCTCATTTTTAAATGCAGGCAGTGCCATTGCTTCAGTGAAAAAATTCTAACTTTAAGCTGGTGAAAAGTAAGCGGAAATTCATGTATGTTGGTGTGTATGTAGTGTTCAGTCTGTGATGTTATAACTCATTGTATTACCTTGTCTTTTCTCCTAACAGAAGCTGTCCCTACCCCTATGCCACCAACACCTACACCAACAGAACCTACACCTCCAGTGACAGGTAACTTTAGCCAATCGTATATGCTAGTCAATTGGCTGTAGAAGGGCACCTAATATTTTTACTACCAGTGCTACTTATTTGCTTCAGTTGATTTCTTGGGTATCTCTCTATGGCATTGCCTTATGCCATATAAGTCTGCCTTTTCTGTTTTAGTTCTTCCATATATAATCTGTAAAATGGGGATGATTGTGTTTCCCAATGCACAATGAAGGTATAAAGTGGCTTTTCTGGATGGATCCATTTGTTAATTAGAACATACTCCTTTTTCTGTCTCCAGAAGCAATCTGCAGTATACATGGGGATCCTCACTACTACACATTTGACAAGCAGCGTCATGACTTCATGGGCACCTGCACCTACACCCTCTCCAAGCTGTGCGAGAGCAACAGCTCGCTGCCTTACTTCAACGTGGAAGCGGCCAATGAGCACAGGGGAAGCAACACTCGCGTGTCCTATGTCCAATATGTGGACATCGATGTGTATGGCTACAGGATCAATCTGGGTAAAAATGGAATTGTTAAGGTAAGATTGGAGCCTACTATCTATCATCAGTAACTCATAGCCTGCATGAAGAAATAGTTGCACAATGGTTATAAATTTCCAGCATACACGCAGTAATATTTAGAGACCAGTCAGATATTTAGGAGTAGTGGGGAGTTCTTAAACATTGGAATTTCAGGACTGAAAACATAGAGTAAAATTTTGTGCTGTATTGCTAAAAGGTAGGATTAGACCTGAAACTCCAGATGGGCTTGGTGGGCTAGCCTACCCTTCTGGCTTGCCCCCCATGCTCAAGCTTGGTCTGCATCAAGGAATAAAAAGGCCCTGCATTAACCGAGTCTATGCTGGTGGTTATTTCCCGATCCTGTGTGGTAGCCTGGCAAGCTGCATGCTTATCCCTGAATCCTAGTTATTCCACATCACTGCTAACTTCACTTGACACTTGGCATTTGCGATAAAGCAGGGCCAGATAATAGAGTCCTAGAGTGGCAATCTGATGACTCTCCTCACACTGATTGTGTCATTTGGCCGGCTATTGTATTTTAAGGCTTCTTTATGGCTCCTTTCCACAAAGGGCCAGGACAGCAGACATGTTTGATTCAAATGCCCAATAAATGAATAGGTCATCTTACTTCATTACCACCCTTCTTATAAGAAAATAGTACAGCGATTTATGTGACAGGAGGTAAAGGTATAAATGTATACGGAGACCTTTCCCATCTGACCTTAGAAACATAGTGAACTCCTAAATCCACATTTGTCCAACAGCTTCTCTTTTATACCTTTCCCCTGTATTTACTTTTTTTATTGTATATGTGTTTCTAAGTAAACCCAACTTTCTTACAAATGTAATGGGAACAAATGTTCAAAGTAGATGCTAATTTTAGTAAATTTTAAATAAATTGAAAATTTTACTTGGACGCATACTTTCTATTATCTGGCGTTTCATATGTGAAAATTATAAGAGAAAGACAAAGAAACAAAAAGAAGCTTTTTCAAGTTTTGTCCAATCCTGAAAATTTTCTGAGAATCCATTCTGACTACATTTTCTTAATCTTATTTGATCCAAAATAAAAGATTGGTCGGTAAGCAACTACTGCTGACAGACCGTGCTAAGTCTTGGACTTTTGGCAGCTGGGTCGGATTCACCAAGACCACTTTGACTGCACTTGGAACTACATCGCTATGTTATTATGGCCTCAAGGCCCTAGATTATGTGCCCATATACAACGTTCGTGTTAAATAGTACTTAACCCAATGTGAGTTCTTACTGTTATTACAAGCTCACTGTGCAAGTCCTATGCTCCCTATAGGGATGTGATTTAAGAGGGTCACCATCAAAAATACTTCTTTTGAAGTGATTATAATGATTGTCCTTCTCTGTGCCTGCAGGTTGATGGAGTCAGCCAGGTGCTCCCTGTGACCTTGGCACAGGGTGTCAGTATTTCCTTCAGCGGGCAGTATGTTGTGGTTACTACTGACTTTGGGCTGATTGTCAAGTTTGATGGAAATCACAGAGCAGAAATCACTCTTCCCAGTACCTACATGTCTAAAGTCTGTGGAATATGTGGAAATTATAATGGGGACAAAAAAGATGACTTTCTTAACCCAGATGGAGAGATGGAAGCAAACTCGACCAGCCTTGGCAACAGTTGGCAGGTTTACAATGACTCCAGGTAGGACTCCAACCGGGATGTTAGGCCTTAGCTGTTGGTTATGCAATGACCAGTATTTTCAACAACTGGGTTATGTGAGCCAAAAATGTTAGGCACGTGGGATCAAATATATTCTTGTCAGAGTACTTAATTTATCTACCTTGGTAAAGTTTCACAAGAAATTTAACCGTGCTTAAAAGGAGAAAAATTGAATAAAACACTGCAAATGCCCGCTAAGATTTCAGTTATTGTTATAGTCAATTAATGCTAATACTTGAAGATCCTATTTAAACTCTTTTGAGATACTTTACCATTTATTTTATAATTTCACAATATATTATTTAAAGATAGTAGAGGTTTAACTTTGAATGCTTTTATTTCTTGTTTGCACTTCATAGGTATCTTCCACATAGAAAGCTTCACTTAAAAGAAAGCCCAAATTAATATTTAGGTTTCTTCCAGATATAAGGTTGAGATGATATTAAAATATGAATTTCTATCCTAAGTATTTGAAATGTAGAGCTTTAAAATATGATATGTTTACCCTGCGGACAGCCCCATAGTTTTGTTAGATGTGATTTGAAAAGCATCTTAGGTGCTAGTGCATCCAAAGTGCATTGGTGAATTTTTCCACATCTTTTTTTTTCCACACTAGGTGCTTGCCAGATGATGGCCACACCCCAAATTGCACTGACGATGAAAAACATATGATCCAAAGCAATGAATACTGTGGTCTGATCACAGATCCCAGTGGTCCATTCCAGAATTGCCACTCAGTAGTTGATCCACAAAGTTATTCTGAAGCCTGCCAGTATGATCTCTGTGAACTTCATTTGAACAATGCAGCCCTCTGTGAAAACATACAGGCTTATGCAGACGTGTGCCAAGCTGCAGGAGTCCAACTGAGACCATGGAGAAATGCAACCTTCTGCCGTATGTATCAAAGATTACTGGAAATTACCACTTGTCAGGAGGATACATGAAATAGTGATCCAGTGCCCTATGTGCCTTCTGCACTGAAGGAGATGGGGAGACTAAACAAAGAGATTTGTCTGTAAACACTGGAATGACTGAAGCCTGGTTTCTTTCTGACTTTTGTTTCACATTTGACTGCAGTCTCTAGCTGGAGCAGCTTCTCTGCTGAGGTTTTCTCTCACATAGGTTCTATGGTTTCTAAGCAGGAGTGAGACCCCTCTGTAGCTGTTCTTTCTGCTGAAGGAGCTTGCAGGATCTCTCCTCTTGGTCTCACGCCTATTTCATTTAATGGACTTGAATATGTTGTTATTCTCTACCAACCTCACGAACTTATTTCCAATAAGTCCGCTGGGTCAAATTTAGTAAGTGGAAGGATGACCAGAGAAACGCACGATGTAAATGTGTGATCTCTGTCTCCTCAGGAAAACAGGCTAAAAATAGAGTGAGAAAATATGTCATAAAAACTGAGCTGCATCACATAAACATGTAGAAGCTGAAAAAAAATTGTTTAGGAAACTTGAGTTCTGGTATCTTCTCACCTGAAAATGTCAGTGCTTAAAAAGTCTAATTAGCTTGGGTACGTACATGTCATGTATGTAACAAGATCAAAAATAGAATAGAACACTTATAGATCCTGATTATTTAAAAAATATTAAAGACCTTGGTGAAGTGAAAAAATAAAAATTAAATATATACAATATGATTAGAATTAAATATCAGGACTAGAACTTGAATATGGTACATGTTATGGACAAATAACTAACATAACACCAATATCCGTAGCCCAAATGCAAGAATTCAAAGCTATCCTCTTCAGGAATAAGAGGTCTTCAGGGAAACTCTCTCCATAAGGGAAACTCTAAATAGTCCAAACCTCAAAAGAAATAAGATTAATAAATAGGTTTAACTTTTATTACACAGCACTAGCCTGCTCTGCCAACAGTCACTATGAGCCCTGTGCTGCAGCCTGCCCTGCCACCTGTGTTGACCCACTAGCACCCTACAACTGCAAGCTGCCCTGCGTGGAAGGGTGTGTGTGCGACAGCGGGTACCTGCTCTACAACGACCAATGCGTGCCAAGCCAACAGTGCGGGTGCTGGCACAACGGGCAGCACTACCCCGTGGGCTCAGAGTTCTGGACGGACAACACCTGCTCCTCAAAGTGCACATGTCCCGCACGGGGAAGCAAAGTCCAGTGCTTCAGTGCCTCATGCCCTGCGGGCCAGTACTGCGGGGTAAAGGATGGGAAACCTGAGTGCCTCGAACAATCCTACGGCATCTGCCACATCCATGGTGACCCTCACTACATCACCTTTGACAAAGTGACGCACAACTTCATGGGCAACTGCACCTACACCCTGGCCAAAGTGTGCTCCAACACCACCTTCCTGCCCTACTTCAATGTTGAGGCCAAGAACGAGCATCGTGGAAACACCAGAGTGTCCTACGTGCGCGAAGTTGTGGTTGAGGTGTACGGAGAGCGCATTGCCATTGTCAAGAAGGAGAAGAGCCAAGTGCTGGTAGGCAGTGGGGCTGGCACAAGCGTGGGGTGTCTGCCAGGCAGGGCTGGCTTTTCTTGGCAGGGCCTGGCATGTACCAGACATCTGCATTGTCCCAGGCCTGGGTGGGTTCCCTTGAAGCCACTGGGTTGCTTTGATTTCCTTTCTGGAGGGGTCGGAGGAGGAAGAGGCAAGTGGGGAATGTGGGCTGTGTTGAACAGCATGCGGAACAGAGACACCGCTCTGCAAGCCATGGGAGCGTCTGTGTGTGAGGGCACCACAGGCAGTGTTCTGCTGTGTCCGGCCTGGCAGTTGATTTCCCTGGGGCAGGAGATTTCCCTGGACTTGTTCCTTCACCCAGGATCAAGTCCGGGGTCCAATGTGGTGTGTCTGCCCTAGGTGAACAATGTGCGCCAGACCTTGCCGGTGAGCAGAGCAGGGGGTGCCATCACGGTGAGCCAGAGCGGCCGCTACATCGTCCTGGAGACAGACTTCAACCTCAGGGTGTCCTATGACACTGACCACTCGGTGGAGGTGAAGGTGCCCACTACCTACTTCAACCTGACCTGTGGCATGTGCGGGAACTTCAACAACCGGAGAGAGGACGATTACATGATGCCCAACGGGCAGCAAGCTGCAGACTCCAATGAGTTGGGGCAGAGCTGGCAGGTCCCAGACAATGACCCCTCCTGTGGTGTCCCCGACCCCTCCCCACCCTGCAGTGCAGAAGAGGAGAAGCTCTACCGATCGGACCAGTTCTGTGGCATTCTGACTGCCAGGCCTGGCTCTTTTGAGAGCTGCCACGGTGTGATCAACCCCCAGAGCTACTTTGACACCTGTTTCTATGACCTTTGTGCCCTGAATGGTGGCCAGGAGGTCCTGTGTGCTAATCTGGAGGCCTACGCTGACGCATGCCAGGCAGCCGGCGTGACTCTTCTGCCCTGGAGGAATGCCACCTTCTGCCGTGAGTTTCTGTAGAGAACTGAATCTTTGAGTAGCTGCCTTGTTGTCTTAAGAGGCTGATTTTAGCCAATAACTGACTTATCTTAGGAAACTTAAATTCTTCACATTGTTACATATATTTATATTTAGAAATGAAATTCTTTAAAATTCACCCCATTATTGTTTTCTGCCAGAGAGCAGAGGAGAATTTTGTTCATTATCTCAAGACTCTGTGTTAAACCAGTAGTAGTAGGTTCCTGATAATGTGGAATCACCTCTGACTTTTATTTGATGTTTTGCCTTTAATAAGAGATGCTTAGTATCCAGGACGTGTGAAATGTTCATGCTTTTTTCTTGTAGAATGTTTTCTTTTTTCTTTCTGATGTTAAAATAGGATAGGCATTTCAGGCTTCAAAAAAGCAACTTTGTCACTGGTTCAAAATAATCCTAAGTTTGGATTGTGGTTTCATGTGAGTTGTGATTGTCAATTTTGTTGTTTTTCAGCTGTTGCATGCCCTCCCAATAGTCATTACAATCCATGCACCAGTGCTTGTCCAGCGACTTGCACTGACCCTCTTGCACCAAAGAACTGCAGCAGACCTTGTGTAGAAGGATGTGAATGCAACAATGGTTTTGTCATCAGTGGGGGACAATGTGTGTCCATGAACAACTGTGGCTGCCTTCAGAATGGCAAATATTATGAGGTTTGTTCTGGCACGTAGTTCAGAGGCTTATTTCACAGTTCATCGTTACCATTAGCTCTTTTAATTTATTTTTATTTTGTTGTCTCTAACAGAAAGGAGAAGTTTTTTGGCAAACCGACTGCGTGGGCCAATGTGTATGTGCTGGAAATGGGACTATAGTTTGCAATTCAGACACATGTGAAGTAAGCGAAGTTTGCAAGGTGCAGAATGGACTCCTGGGATGTTATCCATTGAATCCTAGCACCTGCCACATTTTTGGGGATCCACATTATATAACCTTTGATGGGAGACTGTACCATTTCCAAGGAGACTGCAATTATACTGTTGTTGAGACATGCACGAATTCTTCTGAAAGGTTTTCAGTGACAACCAGAAATGAACACAGAGGAAACCCAAACTGGACAGCCTTGAACTCAGTTGCTGTCACACTGAAAAACTTTCACATTGTTTTGAAGAAAAAGAAAGAGACCTATGTAAGTGTTCTACTTTAAGCATAACCAAGCCATCTCATCTGTTCACTTTACATTTCTGTCCAAAAGAAATGAATCAGACTTCTCTGCTTTATTCACCTCCAAGATTGCACATGCTAAAAGTCACAGAAATGTTTTGGTTTTGGTGGTGTTTTGGTTTTTTTTTCAGAAAGGCAGAAATCAGCAGAGCAAATCTGTGCATTCAGATCTTTTCTAAACGAGGTTGTAGGAGAAAAAAAAGGTCTTCATCCATAGCTTCAGGTATAATAGAAAGGCTTTGCTGAACTAAATCTCAGTCTGAATTTTATACATCTGGCCTTTAAAATAGAAATGGTATTTTTGCTATACACACTCAGATTTATACATACCAGAGCTAGCTTTAAACTAGCTATTCCAAGTATTGCTACATGTGTTGTGACAGCACAGAGTTCACCTTGTGCTACAAAGCACTATTCAAGATGTGGAATAAGAATGCAGCCTGTTAGTCTCTGCTAAGCTTCAAACTTCGGTGTCTGCGTTGTTCATTAGAATAAGGCTGACTTGGTGAAGAAAGCTGTAGTACTGCCAGTGTAGACCTCCTCTTTGTTCCTGGGAGCTTTATTGACTTACCTGGTTGTGTGGGTTTTATTTTCTTTAGGTGAACGGAATTCAGGTTTATCTGCCCGTGGATTTGAACCATGAAGCCAGAATAGCTATACAAGGACATTATGTGGTCATTGATACCTCTCTAGGGATCCAGGTGAAGTTTGATGGTGACCAGGAGCTTTTCATTCTGGTTGATGAAAGTCTCAAAGGACAGCTGTGTGGTCTGTGTGGGACATTCAATGACAACCAATTGGATGATTTCCTAAAACCGGATAAAGTCCTTGAACAGGATCCAAATAAATTTGGTGACAGCTGGATAGTGAAGGATGACAATAGGACGTAAGTATCTGATAATACTTTAGGAAACAGCAAAATGCGTGAAACATAAATCATCTAGTTATAGGAGTAACACACATTACTTACATACCATAGTAACTCTTCTTTGATATTTCTTGTTTGCTAGTGTTTTCACCTTTGAATAACTCCACTTTTCAATAGAAAGCATTGAAATTTTAAAACCACCCTTCAGAGGTTTTCCACATGAACTTTGTAGATTTTATTTGAAACTGGTCTCTTTTTTTGCATATAACTTGATTTTTGTCTTAGTTTTCTATTCTAAAATATCTCCTTTATATTATCTTACTATAAGAAGTCTAAAAATGTCTCTCAGATTCAGCTCCTGAAATAAGTGCATATTGATTAACATAGGAATGGGGCATTTATCTGTCTATTAATGCTTTCACATACAAATTACTGCTCTTACTCTGTGCACTAGTGAACTGAAACTATCTTGCTTGTGTTAGCTGATTTGTTGGTTTCTTCTGGACTTCAGTCTATGGATAGACAGTCATACACCAACAATTCACAATTATATTCTTAATGGAGAATTATGAGTCAAATTGTAATATTTCTCACTTTTGGGTTTGGCACACTAAAGATACACAGCAAACCCACAAAATTTGGCATAGGGTTCTATTACTGTTGAGGTATGCCTTGCAGGATAGAACAAAATATAAAGATTTGTTATATAACCATGCTGCTGTTTATTTTTGATGCAGGTGTAATCCAGTTACAGTCATACCACCCACTTGTGACCCAGCAAAAGAGAAAGAATATGAAGAACTTTGCAAAATTATTTTGAAAAATAGTGGGCCTTTTCAGGTCTGCCATTGGCACATTCCCCCACAGCTATACTTTGAGAGCTGTGTCTATGATCTATGTGCCACAGACGGGAATTCTGATCAGTTTTGCAAGATTTTAGAGGCATATGCTGCGGCCTGTGAACTTGGAGGTGTAAATCTGGGTGAATGGAGGAAAGATACCATCTGTGGTAAGTCATTAGGTCATTTAGCAAATAGCCATCCAATTAAATCCTCATGCTACAAATATAAATTTAAATGACTAAGCTGAGCAGAATTTCAGAAAAGGGGATTCAAGGAGACACAGGAAGCTTTCAAATGCTCAGCATCTCTGGATATTGGGCTTCTAATCTAAACTTCTAATGGACTTTCAGAACTCACTTTAGGATGTGATATTTGAACACTTTTGACCTAAGACCATTTTTCAGAATTGGGTCATGAAAGACAACATATGCTGTCAGTTAAGGACTCAGCCAGGGACAACTTAAGCACTTGTCTAAAGATCACCACTTTGTCTTTAATAAAATATTTTGTCTTTTTGAGAAGACCTCACTTACCCAACCTGTCTACAGCTCCAGGTTTTCAGCAAGGATATGAAATGAATTCAGAAGTATATAAACCAGGGCTTTAAAATTAATAAAGGAGATCCCTGCAATTTCAGGTCCATTCAGCCTTCCAGACGTAACACTATTAGGCCCTTATTATCTGGGTAGACTAGTAGACATAGAGGTAAGGCAAGAGGCAATTGCTTCTTCTAGAACTACCAGAGATGATGACCGAAGCCAGGAGAAATGACAGCCTAAGTATGAGGCTACGACGTGAAAAGGCATTCCATAACCTCTTTCCAATTCTAAGACAATACTTCTCATCCCAGAGTATAAGAAGTAAAGAGAAATGTCAGACCATTCTCATTGTAATGTCTAGATTTCCACCAAGGCAGGACTTTGAGAGCCAGCTGAATACTGCTGTGCTAAATAGGAAAGCTTTAAGCAATTTGCAATGACTAAGGATTATGACTGTGGCATGGTGTAAAAATACAGGATATTAGTGTACTATGATGATAACTGAGGAAGGGATTTCTAAAATACCACACATTCTCAGGTACTTAAAATTTCATATTTTATAGTAAATTTTTCAGTAGTGGCCACTTCTACTCATTACGTCTTCAATTTTTTCATGAACACGGGTGCATGAGACCTAGAAGGGCATTGTCAGAACAGAGAGAAGATTCCAGACCTTATTGTGGAAACTCTGTTTTTCTCTCTGCACCATATACAGCTGCACCAACAGCCTGCAATATGTCCTGTACATTTGATGTTGACTTCTGTGAGTGGGAACAGGCAACCAGCGACGACTTTGACTGGATAAGGCACAAGGGGCCGACACCCACACCAAATACCGGCCCTTCCTATGACCACACGACTGGAGGTAGGTACAACAAACAGTATCTGGCTGTGCCTCTCTTGTACGAGGGCATGGAGCCTGTTCGAATAACAAATCCAGGCCATGCATTTCCTAGGCTCAATCCAGAGCCTTCTCCAGCAGTCAGGAATCTGTTGTGGGGTGGATGAACAGTGCAGGACCTGTGACCGTAAGCATGTGACCTGTTAACATAAGTCCCAGTAAAGACGCTTCAGCAAAGGTATATCCAGGCTAAGACTGGATCACTGTGGTGCTCAGCCTCTCCTTTGGAAGGCTTTCCTTTCCCTAAGTCGTAGACCAGTGTAATCTGCTGGAAATCCATTTGGGCACTGCAAGTGCTGAGTGAAGAAAAGTTTTACTGTATGCCATCTGTAAATGAAGTGACTTTGTCTTGTCCTGGCCCATTAATGTGAAAAAATTGACACTTTGCTGTTTTCAGAGGGCTATTATGTCTACCTGCAAGGAAGTACACATCAGCCAGGTGAGGTAGCCCGCTTGGTCAGTCCAGTGTGCAGTTTGGAAGGACCGCACTGCTTCCGCTTCTGGTATCACATGTACGGAGCAGCTGAGGCAATGGCCCTGCGCGTGTATGCAGTTCACAATGAAACATCAACACTGGAATGGAAAGATGCTGGAAACAAAGGGGACAGATGGAACTTGGGAGAGGTCATGGTGCACAGCACAGGAAACATGCAGGTAAGGGCCCAGGCTCTTACTGCCGTCAGACATAAACCGTGCTTTCTAATGGCACTTCACATCTGTGGCTGGAGCTAATTTTGAGAAATATCCCTTCCCTTAGATTGTCCTGGAGGGCATGATAGGTGAAGATATCAAGAGCGACGTAGCATTGGATGATCTGTCCATTGAAAAGGGATACTGCACAGGTACAAAGATCAGCTTGGGGAAGGGCAGTCATTTCTTGCTGTGGCAGACACTGCAGTTTCTGTCTTGAAGAAGAGCTGGTGAACGAGGATTGATTTGCTTGTACCATTGTCTCGATTGTAGGTAATGTGATTCCGACAACACCAGGCACCATCACAACCACACCTTCAGAAGATAAAACCACGTCAGCACCCATACCAGGCCCGGGTGAGTCAAGGAGACCCGTCATGGGGCTGCAGTCCTTTCTGCAGAGTACGCTGGGGAGCAGAAGCAGCAGGTGGTGCTTAACTGAATGTTTCCTCTGGTCTTTCCACTCTCAGGGACCTGTGTGGTGGAAGGAGACCCTCACTACCACACATTCGATGAGCAGCTACACCACTTCATGGGCACCTGCACCTACACCCTCTCCAAGCTGTGTGAGAGCAACAGCTCGCTGCCCTACTTCAATGTGGAAGCGGCCAATGAGCACAGGGGAGGCAACACTCGCGTGTCCTATGTCCGATACGTGGATGTCGATGTGGCTGGCCAGCGGATAAGGCTGGGGAAGGGTGGAGCGGTGACGGTAAGCGCATGGGGGAGAGACGGTGGGGCTGTGCAAGAGGAGAGAGCTGTGCCAAAGGGGTTGCTCCAACCCCGTCTTGGTTTCTGTCCTTCCAGGTCAATGGAGTGGCAGAGGTCCTGCCCTGCACCCCATCCGCAGGCGTGCAGGTCTCGTCCAGCGGATTCTACACAGTCGTCACCACAGACTTTGGCTTGAGAGTGAGGTTTGATGGGAACCATCGGGTGGAGGTGACGCTTCCGAGCACCTTTAGGCAGAAGGTTTGTGGCATGTGTGGGAACTACAACGGGATGGCAGCAGATGACTTCCTGAACCCAGAAGGGATGCTGGAGCCAGACTCCACCAGCCTGGGCAACAGCTGGCAGGTGTCCAACGACAGCAGGTGTGTGTGGCCCCCCAGGAGGTCTGGGGACATGTCAGGCCAGGGGAAGGGGAGGCACTAGGAGAAGTCCACAGATAACCCAAGGGCCTTTCTCCTGGTCTTTCCACAGCTGCTCGGCCGGACCACTGCCCACCCCAGCCTGTAATGAGACGGACAAGCAAGTCATTGCCAGCAGCCAATTCTGTGGGCTCCTCAATGACACCAGCGGCCCATTTCAGATGTGCCATGCTGTGCTGAGCCCCAACAGTTACTTTGACACCTGCCTTTATGACCTGTGTGAGCTGGGGCTGGACCGCGAGGTCCTCTGCAAGAGCTTGCAGTCCTACGCAGATGCCTGCCAGTCTCTTGGTGTCAAGATCCCTGTGTGGAGGAATGCAACCTTCTGCCGTAAGTCCACACACAGTACCAGGGATTGTTACTCTCTGGAAAACGCAGAATAGCGAATGAAAAAGTGGGGTGGGAAATAAGTAAGAGTTTTATTACACGTGCTGGGGATTTACAGGCAGCTGTAAGATCAGAGGCTCCATTTTCTGTTTCATTTGATGGGGTATGGCTTAGAATACCCATGGAGCCAAGCAACCCACAGAGAAAATATAGACTCTTAATTATTCAAAGAGGAAGGTATAGCACCCAGAAGTGTTCTGTTCTCTAAGTGTCTTGGCCGTGTCTTCTGTCTTGGCAGCCATCACCTGTCCAGCCAACAGTCACTATGAGCCCTGTGCTGCAGCCTGCCCTGCCACCTGTGTTGACCCGATGGCTCCTGTTAGCTGCAGCCTGCCCTGCGTGGAAGGGTGTGTGTGCGACAGCGGGTACCTGCTCTACAACGACCGATGCGTGCCAAGCCAACAGTGCGGGTGCTGGCACAACGGGCAGCACTACCCCGTGGGCTCAGAGTTCTGGACGGACAACACCTGCTCCTCAAAGTGCACGTGTCCCGCACGGGGAAGCAAAGTCCAGTGCTTCAGTGCCTCATGCCCTGCGGGCCAGTACTGCGGGGTGAAGGATGGGAAACCTGAGTGCCTCGAACAATCCTACGGCATCTGCCACATCCATGGTGACCCTCACTACATCACCTTTGACAAAGTGACGCACAACTTCATGGGCAACTGCACCTACACCCTGGCCAAAGTGTGCTCCAACACCACCTTCCTGCCCTACTTCAATGTTGAGGCCAAGAACGAGCATCGTGGAAACACCAGAGTGTCCTACGTGCGCGAAGTTGTGGTTGAGGTGTACGGAGAGCGCATTGCCATTGTCAAGAAGGAGAAGAGCCAAGTGCTGGTAGGCAGTGGGGCTGGCACAAGCGTGGGGTGTCTGCCAGGCAGGGCTGGCTTTTCTTGGCAGGGCCTGGCATGTACCAGACATCTGCATTGTCCCAGGCCTGGGTGGGTTCCCTTGAAGCCACTGGGTTGCTTTGATTTCCTTTCTGGAGGGGTCGGAGGAGGAAGAGGCAAGTGGGGAATGTGGGCTGTGTTGAACAGCATGCGGAACAGAGACACCGCTCTGCAAGCCATGGGAGCGTCTGTGTGTGAGGGCACCACAGGCAGTGTTCTGCTGTGTCCGGCCTGGCAGTTGATTTCCCTGGGGCAGGAGATTTCCCTGGACTTGTTCCTTCACCCAGGATCAAGTCCGGGGTCCAATGTGGTGTGTCTGCCCTAGGTGAACAATGTGCGCCAGACCTTGCCGGTGAGCAGAGCAGGGGGTGCCATCACGGTGAGCCAGAGCGGCCGCTACATCGTCCTGGAGACAGACTTCAACCTCAGGGTGTCCTATGACACTGACCACTCGGTGGAGGTGAAGGTGCCCACTACCTACTTCAACCTGACCTGTGGCATGTGCGGGAACTTCAACAACCGGAGAGAGGACGATTACATGATGCCCAACGGGCAGCAAGCTGCAGACTCCAATGAGTTGGGGCAGAGCTGGCAGGTCCCAGACAATGACCCCTCTTGTGGTGTCCCCGACCCCTCCCCACCTTGCAGTGCAGAAGAGGAGAAGCTCTACCGATCGGACCAGTTCTGTGGCATTCTGACTGCCAGGCCTGGCTCTTTTGAGAGCTGCCACGGTGTGATCAACCCCCAGAGCTACTTTGACACCTGTTTCTATGACCTTTGTGCCCTGAATGGTGGCCAGGAGGTCCTGTGTGCTAATCTGGAGGCCTATGCTGACGCATGCCAGGCAGCCGGCGTGACTCTTCTGCCCTGGAGGAATGCCACCTTCTGCCGTGAGTACCTGCCTTGCAGCGGCCAGAAGGGCAGGTGCTGCTCCCTTGCCCATAACCCCTGGCCAAAGCAAGTCTTTGGTCTTCCGCTTCCCAGAAGGTCGTCCTTCCTTGAAGGCTTGCTGGTCCTAATTGTCCCCTTTCCATTGCAGCCCTGCTGTGCCCTGCCAACAGCTACTATGACCCTTGCATGACCGGCTGTCCTGCCACCTGTGTTGACCGACAAGCCCCACAGAACTGCTCCAAGCCCTGCATGGAGGGCTGTGCATGTACCTCTGGCTTCCTCCTTAGTGGAGACACCTGTGTGCCTGAGGCCCAGTGTGGCTGCCTCTTTGAGGGCAACTACTACAGCGTGAGTGAAAACCCTGCCCTGGCTTGCACCCCTCCCCGGGCACTCCCTTGCCTCTACTTTCCTGCCTGATGCGCTGATGCTCGGTGTTTGCCTGCAGGAAGGCGAGTACTCTGTGAGCGAGAACTGCACTCGCCAGTGCCGGTGTGAAGCCAACGGCCAGATGGTTTGCTCTCCGTTGTCCTGTGGTGTGGACGAGGTCTGCAAGATCCAGAATGGCCAGAGGGGCTGTTACCCAGCCAGCACTGCTCTCTGCCACATCTACGGCGACCCGCATTACAGCACCTTCGATGGGAAGCTTCACCACTTCCAAGGCTCCTGCAATTACACGGTGGTGACGGGCTGTGACAACTCCTCCGTTGGGTTCACTGTCACCACCCGCAACAAACATCGCGGCAGCCTGAGCTGGACGGCTCTGAACTCTGTGGCAGTGTCCATGGAAGGCCTCCACATTGCACTGCGCAAGAACAAGGCGGTCTACGTAAGCCCCTCATTTTTACACCTGGGAATGACAGATGCCATAGCCACCACTAAATACCGCTCTGTCCCCAAGAAGAGCCTGACATTCCCTGAGCCGGCTGGTGTGCTCAGAGAAGAGCACAGCGAGGCTCTGAGCAGGGCACACACAGCTGCTGCGCAGCAGCAGATGTTCGGCTTGTTTTCCTGAGCTTGCGGTGTGCCATACGTAGAGTAGCTGCTGTTCTCATAGGCCTGGGAGGGTTTCTCATGCCATCGGGTCATCTGACTCACCATGGGCCCTGGCACCATCCCAGGGAAGAACAGTGACCTCTCCGTGGAGGACATTGCCTTATGTTCCTGTCTCCCTCTCTCCCCCTTATTCAGATCAACGGTGCTCTGGCCTCCCTGCCTGCTTCCCCCGCCCCCGGTGTGTCTGTTTCCCTGAGCGGCTCCTACGTGCGGGTTTCTACCAAGCTGGGCCTGCAGCTGCAGTTCAATGGGGACCATGAGCTCTTAGTGCACGTGTCTGAGAAGCACAAGGGCAAGCTGTGTGGGCTGTGTGGGACGTACACTGGAAGCCAGCAGGACGACTTCATGCGACCCGATGGGGTTGTCGTGCCCGACTTCAATGACTTTGGAACCAGCTGGAGGGTGCCAGATGATGAGTGGCCGTGAGTCCTTGTTCCGTCGCATGGGTGATGGACAAAAGGGAACGTGGGAGAGGGTAGCTGTGAGAGGCCAGGGCCTTGGTGTGGTATTTTTCCCAAGCTGTTGCGATCGCAACTGCCTTGGCCATTTGTTTCTGTCCACCCAATGCCATGGAGGGTACTGGTGACTGGGGGCCACGTTGTCCACCCTTGCAAGTGGTAGCCGCGGGTGCCTTGTCTCAGTGAGGGATCTGGACTCCAGAGGCTGAGGTTTTGGCTGGGAGGAGGTCAGGAAACAGTCTGGCGGGGGCCCACAGGCTGTTGCGGGCTCAGGGCTGTCTGTCTGCCTTGCAGGTGTGACCCAACCATCAGACCACCCGCGTCCTGCTCCCCCTCCGAGGAGGAGGCAGCTAACAAGGAGTGTGCAATCCTCACACAACTTGGTGGCCCGTTCCAGCCATGCCATGCAGTTCTGCCACCCAAGACGTACTTTGAGAGCTGTGTCTATGACCTGTGTGCCACGGGTGGCAGCACGGAGCAGTTCTGCAATGACCTGGGGGCCTATGCCACAGCCTGTGCTGAGGCAGGCGTTGCTCTGGGAGACTGGAGTGCTGGCACTGTCTGTGGTAAGTGTTCTGTTGACCTCCTTTGTGGCCTAGAGTCAAGGAACGGGGCAGCTCTGCTGGAGGTTTCTCCCTGTGTCACCTAACTGCTTTGGTGGGCCAGCCCTTGGGTGAAGAGAATTTTTGTGACCTGGGTACTGTGGCACTCCTCTCCTGCGCTCCTTTTGCCATGCTGTGGGGGTGTTTGGGAAGGGTCCAACATTCCCCTTTGGGAAGAAATGCATGTAGCGAAACACGTCTTCTCCAGCTCTGTTTCACTACATATGCAGCAGCTTCTCCAACCTTGGCCCCCTTGCCAGACATTGTCATTCTGAGATGACACTCTGCGATTCCTGCCCTGGCCCTCTCTGGTTACACTGTTGGAGCGCTTGGGAAGGGTGGACCAGCTGCCCACAACAAAACTCCCATGTTGACACGGATCTCCTCTAACTCTCTCTTGTGCTAGGCCCATCGACATCAAAACCCACGACCCCCTCACCAGGCACTACAACGCAGCCTCCAAAGACGACATCACCACCAAGACCCACACCAAGCTCAGGTACTGCCACATCCCATCCCCATCTGCTACTCCCAGGGGCAAGTGTTCATTTAGCTTTCTGCGAGGCTCATGACGAAGGGACGAAGCAGCTGTAGTGAAGGGGTTGCACGTCTCCTTCTCTCCTCCACCTATGCTGGTGGCAGAGCACTTAAGTGCTCGAGTTATTGCTGAGGAGACACTGTGCCGTCCCGGAGCTGGGCCTCTCTGGTCACAGTGCTGTGGTGCTTGGGAGGGGTGGACCAGCTACCTGCAGCAAAACTCCCATGTTGACCCCGATCTCCTCTAACTCTCCCTTGTGCCAGGTCCATCAACCCCAGAGCACCCCCTCGCCAACCACCACAACGCGGCCTCCGCATACACCAAGACCCACACCAAGCGCAGGTACTGCCATGACCCATTCCCATTTTCAAGTCTCTGTGTCAACCACTCATTTGGCTTCCTCCAAGGCCCATGACCATGTGAGGGAGTGACTGTAGTGAAGGAGTTGCAGGTCTCCTTCTATCAACCAACAATGCTGGTGGGAGAGCACCCAAGTGCTCGAGTTATTGCTGAGGAGATACTGTGCCGTCCCGGAGCTGGGCCCCTGGTCACGGTGTTGTGGTGCTTGGGAGGGGTGGACCAGCTGCCTACAAGAAAATGGCCATGTTGATGTATATCTCCTCTAACTCTCCCTTGTGCCAGGTCCATCAACCCCAGAGCCTGGGACCACCTCGCCAAACACCACAACGCGGCCTCCACATACACCAAGACCCACACCAAGCTCAGGTACTGCCACATCCCATCCCCATCTGCTACTCCCAGGGGCAAGTGTTCATTTAGCTTTCTGCGAGGCTCATGACCAAGGGACGAAGCAGCTGTAGTGAAGGGGTTGCACGTCTCCTTCTCTCCTCCACCTATGCTGGTGGCAGAGCACTTAAGTGCTCGAGTTATTGCTGAGGAGACACTGTGCCGTCCCGGAGCTGGGCCTCTCTGGTCACAGTGCTGTGGTGCTTGGGAGGGGTGGACCAGCTACCTGCAGCAAAACTCCCATGTTGACCCCGATCTCCTCTAACTCTCCCTTGTGCCAGGTCCATCAACCCCAGAGCCTGGGACCACCTCGCCAAACACCACAACGCGGCCTCCGCATACACCAAGACCCACACCAAGCGCAGGTACTGCCATGACCCATTCCCATTTTCAAGTCTCTGTGTCAACCACTCATTTGGCTTCCTCCAAGGCCCATGACCATGTGAGGGAGTGACTGTAGTGAAGGAGTTGCAGGTCTCCTTCTATCAACCAACAATGCTGGTGGGAGAGCACCCAAGTGCTCGAGTTATTGCTGAGGAGATACTGTGCCGTCCCGGAGCTGGGCCCCTGGTCACGGTG